CTTGGTCTACGTCAGAATAACTTCAATTTCTGCCTCCGTCTTCACACGGCCTTCTTCCTTGTGTGTGTGTCTGTGTCCAAATTTCCCTCTTCTTACAAGGACACCAGTCATATTGGATTAAGGACCGTACTCTGATGTGATCTCATCTTAACTAGTTCTATCTGCAATGATTCTATTTGCAAATAAAGTCACATTCTGAGTTACTGAGAGGCAGGATGTAAACATATCTTTTTGGGAGACACAACTCAACCCATAATACCACAGATGACAGACTCAAGACTTTAAAATACTCCATAAATAATATAGTGTATATTTTCGTGTTCTCCATAGATAGAAAAATGTAAGCTCTTTGGAGGAGCTGATAACTGAATTTGGGGAGATAAGGTATGTACTGGGTTGGATGTCTCTCCCCAAAATTCATGTCTGCCTGGAACCTCAGAACGTGACCTTATTTGAAAATATGGTCTTTACAAATGTAATTAATTAAGATGACATCATACTGGATGAATGTGGGCCCTAAATCCAATGACTGGTGTCCTTATGGAAAGCCATGTGAAGACACAGAGAAGACACACAGGGAATAACGTCATGTGATGACAGAGCCAGAGATTAGAGGGAGGCATCTATGAGCCAAGGAATATCAAGGATTGTCAGCAATCACCCTTCTTCCCTAAAGCCTTTAGGGGCAGCGTGGCCCTGCCTACACTGTGGTTTCAGACTTCTGGCCTCAGTTACTGCAACAGAATAAATTTCTGTTGTTTCGAGTCACCTGGTTTGTGGTAATTTGTTATGGTAGCCTTAAGAAACTAGTACAAGGTACTTATACAAGTAACCAAAATGCGAAGAAAATGCACTAAGTGACATAGAAGTGGAAAAAACCCCACAATTCCATGAGGATTGATAAGAGGGAAGAGTCTGATTGATCAGAGTTGAAAAGGTGGTTCAGTGGTAAAGGGTATATTGAAGATGAGGAAGAGCTTCATGAAAAAGTTTAGGATTCAAGACAACTTTTGAGAGATAAGTAAGTTTCCAAAGAGAGTTTCAAGAAATGATATTGTAGACAGGGAAAATGGCGTGAAATTTAGTGTGAAACAGGGCAAAGCGTATTTGGGGAATGAAGTCCCAAGGACACAGGGTGGAAAAAGGGGAGCGCTAGAAAGTTTGTTTGTGTTAAATGTGAAGAAAGCTGAATGCTAAGTTGAGGCCCTTTCCCATCATTCAGCAGTTAGTGTGGAGCAGGGATGTCACATGATCACAGTGCTATATTAGGAGCCTTTATCTAGCAGCCTGCTGACAGCTGGTCTGGAGGTAAGGGCAGTAAGAAAATATGGGGGGACCTGACCCCATGGCCGAGTGGTTGAGTTCACGTGCTCTGCTCCAGCAGCCCAGGGTTCACAGGTTCAGATCCTGGGCATAGATCTGCACACTGCTCATCGAGCCATGCTGCGGTGGCCTCCTGCACAGAGAAACTAGAATGACTTACAACTGGGATATACAGCTACGTACTGGGGCTTTGGGGAGAAAAGAAGAAACAAACAAATAAAAACATGATTTTCAAGAAGTACTGTGGAAGAGAAGTTGAGAATGTAACAGTTATCTGAGGGGACCGAGAGATATCAATAGGTTAAAATTTTTGACTGAATTCAACAATAAAATATTCAAGAAGGGAAAAACTTCAAGTCTTCCCTTATGATTCAACATGAAACATCATAAGGATAAGATGAGGGACACTTTACTTATTTGATAAAGTTAAACAAAGAACTAAAACTTGGACATATTAGTTGACAGTAGTGTGGTAACCATTATTTGAATGAATTTCTTGTCCAAAAAATCAGAGGAGACCCCCTTCTTCTTGCCAGGCCCTAAATTAATTGTGTTTTCATTTTGTTTGTTCCATTTTTTTTAATTAGTAAGTGAATTAAAACCTTAGGGTTCCAGAGGCTGGCCCAGTGGTGTAGTGGTTAAGTTTGTGCACTCCGCTTCAGTGGCCCAAGGTTCACCAATTTGGATCCTGGGCACGGACCTATCCACTGCTCATCAAGCTACGCTAAGGTGGTGTCCCACAAAGAAGAACTAGAAGGCCATACAACTAGGATATACAATTATGTACTGGGGCTTTGGGGAGGAAAAAAAAAGAGGAAGATTGGCAACAGAAGTTAGCTCAGGGCCAATCTTCCTCACAAAAAAAAAAAAAAAGAAAGAAAAGAAAAGAAAGAAAAACCCCCACAAGATTTGGGTTCAAATTATATCTTTAAAGAAAAAAAAAAAAGCTTAGGATTCCAAAGAATAGATCTAAATAAGAAGTGATTTTCAACCGAGTGTTTTTGGTTTCTGCCCAAGTTTACATCAGATATTACCTGCCAGCAAAGTCTCTTTTCTTGAATTTTCACTATGTCTGCACAAATGAAAAGCTTTTCCGCATCACACCCTATCCTAGTAAGAAGAAATAAAAAGAGGTTGAGCATTCCCCAGACATTGCTTCTTCCCCAGAGAAGATGTCTTGCTCCCATTTTTAAAATATGTGATATATTCAACAGTGATAACACCCAATTACATGTGGGTCACTGAGAAGTGTGGCAGCTCTATTCTTTAACAGAAGTGCTAGAAAGTAAGGCACATATCCCCTTTCTCATGACATAGTGTGATACAGCAAGACTTCATAGAATGTCTCGTGCTGTCCTCTCTTCTTCTTCAACATATATCCCTTGGAAATGGAACAGCCCTAGCCAAGCTTTGTGGTACCATGCTCTTCTAATGATGTCAAGTTCATGTTCTTTCCAGATGAAGGAAGGGTTAATGGGTGAGAAAAGACCAAAGATTGCCTGCTGGCCTTCAAGGGTCCCTGACATACCGATGCCCATAACTGTCTTGAATGATCGAAGCAGAATATTCTAACAGCAGAAAGTTATACTCAACTCGTCACTGCTCAGACTCATCTAGAGTATTGGGTTAAACTGTAGTCCTGCTCTTTAAGGGAGATATCAATGAAGATGAAATCTATGTTTCTGAGTGCAGGCTTCAAGTCACAGGAAGTAAACCAGCCCTTCATTTTGTGTGTTTTTCACATGAAGACTGCATACATTATGGTTTTATTTTCTAATTCTCCTTTGAGATGAATATAGGAAAATAACTAAAGTAAATTCTTACTTCTCCAAGCCTAGTTGGGATACCCTGATTTCCCTTGAAGTTAATAGTTGACTTTAATTGTAATATATATATATATATATATATATTATACATATGTATCTCCCTGTATGTGTGTGTGTGTGTATATATATATATATATATATATATATATATATATATATATATATATAAGGAGAAACCAAAATCAAGATTCTTATAGATTAAATCAATTTCTCATAGATTATACTTTAGTTCAATAAGAATAAAATGAACGTTAACAAGAAAGCCCCCGAGTGCATTGACGAGTCCAACCGTCAGTGAGCTCTCAGATCAAGGTTTCTGGTGAGTAGGTTCCTCCTCTGGGACACTCTTAGAGTTCTTGGCGTGGGAGGATATTTTAGGGATGACAGACCCCATTTCACCATTTTCTCTACACCCTTTCCCTACTATACTCGTGTCCTCATCATTCTCTCTTCCGTCCTGTGCCGTGCCTGGCTTCCTGACATTGCTGAACATTCTCCGCTGGGGTCTGCTGGCCTACGGCACTGTTTAGCGTTCTCAGTTCTGTTGCACAAACCTACTTCCACTTCACACCTACTGATCCAAAGTCTCCAGGGGTGGAGCCAATAAGTTAGTATGGAAAAGAAAAAAATCCTCCATAAATGATTCTGAAGCATAACCAGATTTAAGAATGACTGGCCTCAAACAGATTTGAATTTGAATCTTGCCTGAATGATATAAGCAAGTTAACTCTCTAATCCTTTAAAAAATAATAATAATAATACTTTACTCCTGGGTAACCTTTACTGAAAGCTTACTACGCATTAAACAATATGCTAAGATATGTAGATTATCTCATTTCATTCATATAATAATGCTATAAAGTAGATATTATTATTCATCTATTTTACAGATAAACATACTGAGGCTTATTCAATTTATTAAAGTTGATAAGGTACCCAAAATTATACATCTGGTGACTAATGGAGCCAGGATACAAACCCAGGTAGTCTGAGTAAAGAATTTATCATGGTACCTGATACATGGTAAACAGGCCATGTAGCACTCCTCATCAATGACATCCTATAATCATTATCCTTATCATCATAGCCACAGGAGTTCATAGCAAATGCTGATCCTCTCCTGGAGCCAGTAAACAACAATGCAATGCCTCACACTCTTCTCCAGGTTTTTGGAGGGTAAGACATTGCCAAGTACCGGACGGAAAATACGTTCTTACTTTAGAGATCTCTACATCTTACGCACTGCTGGGGGAGTTTATAGGAAACCACAATCTCATTTCGTAGCCCTGAAATTTAATATAGAAGGGAAGAAAAACTAGCTTCTCTTCTCAAGCAGAAAACCCCAGATAAATTTCATGAAAGTGGAAGGTAAGTTTTACTAGTGTCAGAAAGGCATTTCAGTACCCAGAAAACCTCCTTCTGTAACCATGGGGAACCAAGGAGGGTCTGGAGTGGTTTATAAGCTTCCTCAGACATGGGCAATGCAGACAGTTGAGCAGTGACACTAAATTTCCCTGTCTAGGTCACTCGCGGAGGCTGCTTAAGCGGCCAGTTCTTTTTGTAGACTTCAACCTTGCAATTCCACTTTCTGGGTTTTCCCCCTACGCACTGATTTTTTAAAATGCTATTATTAACTTCAAGTCAGAAGGTAGGTATTAAAAAAATACAATGTTGGAAGGTTTTATTGCTTTAGAAATACATTTCACCATTTTACCTAACAAATTCCCCAATACTTAGCTTATCACATGTTGTGATAAGAATAAAGCACAGACGAAACAAACTTCAGTGGCACTATTTATTCTCAACATATAGAAAAGCAATGTTCATGAAACAGAAATATGACAGAGTTACCTGTCATGTTGCAGTAAACTTTCAGAGGCCCCAGAGGTCCGCTGCCATCAGGATCTATCCAGTAGTAGTTTGACGTCTGGCCTAGGTGTTTGTATGCTTCGCAGGAAGGCTCGTAGATAGCTGGAATGAAAGATCCTGCATGAGCACAGCACGAAACACATGGCTCTCCTGATAAATGCCCCAGTAACACATCAAATGCTGGCAAACTGTTGTTTAGGAGTGTGTCCTCTTGTTGGAACGAGCATTCTTTTTCTTCACATTTAAATTCATGTTTTGGTTCTTACTCTATAAACATTTCCGATCTAATACATAAATATAGCAAATTCCTTCTATGGCTTTATAGTTGGAGAAAAGTCTAAAACAATCAACAAATTGTTAAATAAGTGTAATGTTTATTGCATTGGGCTCATGCTCGCTGAAAAAAATATTTAATCTATAGTGATTTATAGACAGCACCTCCTCACTGTAAGGGAGGTTAGTTTGAAAGGCCATAAATATTGCCTGCGTTGTTGGGCTATCAACTAAGTGATCAGAGAAAATCTCTCTTTCTCTCTCTCTCTCACACACACACTTTTTTGCATAGATAGTATAAATTTCCTGCAAATAGCATGGGATTTCAAATCTTCCTTTATCTCAGGAAAAAGGATGTCCTTCCTTCATTTTATTTGTTACAGGTGTTTTAATTACATCAAATCTAGTTTGTGTAGAAAGCTAAATCAATGTAATTAAATTAAGCATAGGTTCTTTTTCATTGTTTTCCTTTTTGTTCCCATGCTTCTGACACATTTGTTTTTTTCTCGCAGAGACTGCACCTGTTTTCAGAAGTACAAAATGGACATTTACATATCTCCTTTGCAGTCAGAACTTCTAAAACACTATTGCAAAAATTTTTTTCAGGATTCTTTTTCTTTTTTCTTTTTGCCAGGAAAGATTTGCCTTGAGCTAACATCTGTTGCCAATCCTCCTTTTTCTTCTTCTTCCCCAAAGCCCAAGTACACAGTTGCACATTGTAGTTGCAAGTCCCTCCAGTTCTTCTATGTGAGCTGCCACCATAGCATGGCTACTGACAGACGAGTGCTGTGGTTCCGCACCTGGAAAGGGAACCTGGGCTAGTGAAGTGGAGGGCCCCAAACTTTAACCATTAGGCCATCAGGGCTGTCTTGAGAAAACTTTTTAAACAGCTCCACCATTGACACCTATGATGAATTTGAAAGGTCTCTATCCAAAACGAACAACTATTTTTGGTAAAAATCTACCTATCTGATATACAAGTAGTGGGGTCTTTTGGTAAAGTGCACTTGAATTCATGCTCCTGTTGTCTGTTGAATTATTAAGGAGGAGGTCTGATTCTCAGCCTCCCCTTTCTTCCTTCCTCTTCCACGTTCTCTGTGCTTCCCTTTGGCTTTCCATGGTTTCCTCTCTCCAAAGATGTTAGACCTTAAATTCTGTTTCATTTCAACAGCAACACACTAAACTGAAACAATTCTAAAATTCTTTGATTTACTTAATCCTGCTTTCCTCCCCTCCCTCTGTCCTTCCTCCTGCACAGAGTTATTGAGTACCTATGAAACGTCGAGCAGTGGATTAGGCAACAGGAATGCAGCTGTGAACAACACAGTTTAGGGACCTTTGGAGGAGGGTTTGTTCACTCACTATTTGGGTACTGCTCAAGCACAAAGTGCTATTGGAAGAGGAGGTGGCTGCTCTATTAACTTTTGACAATCTCTCTCCAGATTACTACAATTTTTGTGTATAGTTCAAAATCATCCAGAGTATCAGATTCAAATTCTAAAGTTTTTTTCTTAGTCCCTTCAGCCAATCTGCCATTAACACCTTTTAACTTTCTCTTCTAATATTTAATAATGAGTCATTCTTTTTTCCCTCTGTCAACACCCCAGTCATCCTTATCATCTTGGATTTGGTTTACAAAAATTGCCCTATTTATTGGCTGTCGTACCAAAATATCTGTTCACGTCCCACCAAATTATGCTTTTTTATTCAATGTTAGTCTTGTCCTAAAACATTACTTTCATTATGTTCAAAAATGTGTAATGGTTCTTTAGTATCTATGATATTCTATCCCAGATCACCATCTATGCACGCAAGACCTTCCATAATCCTAACAGATCTCTCTGGACTTTAGCAATTTGCCAACATGAGCCCTGAGTCTGGTCACATGAATCTGACACAGGAGCTTGCTCTCCTGAACTGGGGTTGCCTTTATCTGGAATGTACTTCAAGCCTCTTTCTCCATCCATAAACCCTCTTGATCAGAGTGAACTGCTAAGGATAAGTGGTGAGAAACTGGGCTCTGCAGTCCAACAGACTTGACTTGAAATTCTGGCCCCAGAAAGCACTATTTATACAACATTGGGAAAGTTACTCAACTTCATTTGACTTGTCTGGAAAATAGCAATCACAGGTATATTATAATGGTGTTATGAGAATTGGAGGAAATAATCAACATCAATTGCTTAAAACTGCATGTGTCGGACCCACGGTAAACATTTAATAGTTAGGGTTTTACTATTAATATAATAATTAATATTTAGGCCCCCCTCACATGCCTCCTTCCTTAAGAAGAGCTTCCCTGGTCTACCTGTCTATCCTTCTGAACAGTCCAGGGCCTTCACTACTCATCTTGTGTACTATAATACTTGATTATAGTCAATTTAGGATTTGGTTGACTGCCGTTAATTGAATTTCATATATCAAAATTTTATTTCCTAGTAAGATTGTGAATTATCTTGAGGGAAGGGTCTAGAAAATGTGTTTTTCTTCCCTACTGCATATAATCTAACATGGTAGATGTTTAAGAAAAGCTGTCAGAACGAAACTTAAAATGTACCTGTTCTTCATCCTATTCTGATTTTGATGAGTGAATGATTAGGTGGCTAACCAGCAGAGGCATCGAATATGAAAGCATGATTGGATGGTGAGAGGGGTAGGTAATGATTCCATTTCTAAGCAAGCATATAGGCATTTAAAGAGGGCTACAGACCTTAACCCAAGTAATTGACTAAGAGTAGATATTGAAGGCAGGTGGATGAGGGAAATATGGGTAAGCAAGAAGTTCTCTTTTTTTTCAAAGTATGACAATTATTTTGTTTGTCTTTAACCTACGGCAGGCCTACTAGCTGCTTTGGCCTCATCAATACAAATGGAAAACCAAATACTTTAGTCCAAACTTTACCATGTGTGAAAATCACCTGGAGAGCTTGTTAAAACAGGGATTCCCAGGCCTCACCCCGAAGATTCTGACTCAGTAGAGAATTTGCCCTTCTAACAAGCTCCCAAGTGATGCCGATGCTTCAGGTCCTGCCTGCATTTTGAGAAGCACGGCTCTAATCCAGAAAAAAGGTTAACACAAGAAGGGTGCACTAATTCTTTATTTCTCCCTAAATATAAATAGGAAAAATACGTCACTGAAAGGCAACGCAGTAAAATTTTAAATAAAATAAGACTAGAATGCCAACTCACTTCATTCAAAATAATAAAAACGGAATGGGATATAAAACTCCAAATAAAAGTACATCTAAAGAAATATACTTGGATGAATGTACAGAAAAATATTTGGAAAGAAATACACCAAAACAGTAACAGTGGTTATCTTTGAGTAGTAAGATTAAGGAAGATTTAAAACATTTCTTCTATTTCTGTGTTTTCACATTATTTTATAACGTGCACAAGCTATGTCATCGTTGAAAATACACTTACAAAATGTATATCTGGAATAATGGCACTGAGGTAAAATGGCGAGGACAGCTGTAATACAGTAAAATTAATTGCATTAGTTTTATAACTGAGTAAGAAATTAAGAGATTTTTGTTCAAACCTCCTTTCTGTCATCCACTACCTGGAAACTGCTCTTAACTTTTAGGTTTCTCAACTGTAAAATGAAGGCAATAATACGTCCTTCACCAAGTTATTGTGAAGATTAAATGAAATTACATACTTTGTAAACTAAAAAGCATTGAGCATATTGAAATTTTAATGCAGAGAATGAGGTAACCAAAATATTTTCCCCGTGTTCCTCAGCCAGTTAGCTCTGTACATACTGCAGTCCTGGCTGAGTTGCACAGTTTGTGAACATCAAGCCTGAGAAGATGACAGAGCACGAGGGGCTAAGGCAGCAGCCACTGAGGAAAGAGAAGGATCTGAGCCAGCGTCAATAATCGAGTTTTGTGAGTAGACTGCAGAAGAACAGAAAGGTAATTGGACTGATGGCAAAATAAATAGACTCTTCAAGTCCATTGATTTATTGGAAAAGTAATTTTTCTCTGTTGCAACTCCTAGTCCCAAATAAAAGTTCCCGTATTATACTATATATTCTTAAATATATCTCAGATGTTCAGAAATATTACTATGGAACACCTCAGACTGAATTTCATAACGTAAAATCCAGAAAGTGACAAGTCTTAAATATCTTACTCATTTTCATTAAAGAATAAATGCTGTCTGTTTGTTATCACATTAGGTACAAGGGAAAATGACAAAATACTGCTGTATTAGTTTCATATGCCTGCTATAACAAATAACCAAATTTTCAGTGGATTAAAACAACACAAATTTATTATCTTACAGTTCTGGAGATCAGCAGGTTGAAATGGATTTCACTGGGCTAAATTTAAGGTGTTGGTAGGGCTGTGTTCCTTCTGAACACTCTAGGGCAGAATCCCTTTCTTGCCTTTGCTAGCTTTCAGAGTTCACCCGCATCCTTGGTTCATCATCCCATGTCTCCATCTTTGAAGCCAGCTGTGACTGGTGGAGTCTTTCTCACACCCCACTTCGATTCTCTGCTTTCCTTGTCACCTCTCTCTATTTTAAGGAGAGTCATGATTACATCAGACCTACCCAGATAATCCAGGATAATCTCTTTACTTGAAGGTCCTTAACTTAACTAAAAAGTCTCTTTGCCATGTAACGTAACATATTCACAGTTTCCATGGGTGGTTAGAACACAGACAAATTTGGGTGGAGGGATTATTCTGCCTATCACACCTCTACAGAAATAATATGATTGCTCTACTTAAAGAACAAATTTTATTAAGCACCTAATGTACTCCCAGGATTCTTGATTAACAAAAGATGCCAACTCACAGGCAGAGGGAAGAGCAAAGGGTTTAAGAGCAAAGACGTGCAACAG